CTCAATGTTTTACTTTTCTCTGCAGAAAGGGGACCCAAGCATTTTTCAGGAACCATAAATCCAATTCACGGCTCACAGATCTCCAGTACAAACTCATCTGAGGCTACCACCAAACCAGCCAAGTTCTGCATTGGTGACACTACCCTCGCTTGCTTGTTCCCACCTCATACTGCCCAGTTCCTTGTGCTACCACATGTGTTTGGGCAGTCACCGGTGAATGAGAGCAGGTAACTGATGGGGGTAACACTCAACAGGCTTTGTGCCAGATTACTTTTCAGTAAAAAGGAAGCCTGTTTGAGGCTGATGACAGCAGTAGAGAGCAGGAACATAAACCACTGCTTTAGATAGCAGTGCTAGCCCAGAGTAGCTAAAAGTGTTCATAAGATCACAGGATGATTCAGAGTGAAGGGACCTCGGGAGGTCTCTAGCCCAACCTCCTGCTCCAAGCAGGGTCAGGTGTGAGACCACAGCAGGTTGCTCCGGGCTTCATCGAGTTGGGGCTTGGAAATCACCAAGGATGGTGACTGCAAAACCTCTCTGAGCAACCAACCTGCTCCAATCCATGACTGTCCGCCTGGTGAAAAAGGTTTTCCTTATACCCAGCCTGATTTCAGTCTATGCCTGATTTCTCCCAACCTCCCACCATGCACCGCTGTGAAAAGCCTGACTCAAAAAGCTGTTGTCCAAGGCAGCCACAGCTCTGGTCTATGCATGCAGCCCCACTGCTGATTTTGGATTGTCCTGCTGAGCAAGTTGTCACAAACTGGCTTTGGGAGTAAAATGTGTGGCATATTTCCACATTTGCATAAAATTTCTCTTTAGTTCACCACAAAGCAATGAATGAAATAAACAACTCATCAGATTATTTGATGATGGTAAAAGTCAGTACCACTCTCTGTGCATGACTTAAGACATAGGTGTTACTGGAGAGTGGAATTAACCTCACACTTATAACAGGATAGACATTTGTATATACTGCTGTCAGGCTCAGACATGTACAGATCATATTAACCCATCCGCTTCCCTTCCCTGGTTTCCTATGATATGAAATAAACCATAATAATTTATATGGATCTTCCAAGTATTTTAACACTCAAATTCCATTTTTTTTCCTTGCAACTAAGAGCAGAGAACATTGGCTATTTAAGAATATAATTTTTTATTAAAAAAAAATAACCAATTACTGAAAAGACAAAATTAGAGAAAACACTAGAAATTGCAACAGTAATGATAAAATACACCTTGAAGACATCGTAGGATCTTTTCTGAGTCTCCTACAGACCCCCAAATGCACTTCCTGTAGTATTATGGATTATCATGCAAAATATTTTTGACAATAAGGGAATATAGGTGGTAAGATAAACAATATGCAAAGTATATTTCACCAATAGTATAGACAAAGAATATTAATTATGCAATTACACTACTACACTATCAAAACCTGCTTTTCAGTGCTTTAATTACACCATTAAAATCATATTACATGTATTTTAAACATTTTTATTCTATTTTTGGGCAGACTACAGCCTCCCTGCCTAATAGCTCTTCTGAAGTCATTTTCAGACCCCAGAAAACCGCTTCTGAATATTAGTGTTTAACACATAGCATACCTTTGTTCATTTGGTGATGGTCAGACTGGATCCACACAAGCGTAAGAATCTGTTTCTATGGATCAGAGCATGGGACTTGACTTATATCTAAACTCGGTTTCTCCCCTTTTCTCAGTATATGCTTAGTTGAGTTATAGAGCACCTATTTCTTTTAATATTGAAACCCTGCAGAACATTAATAACATAGAGTTGGATATTGAAAAAAAAAAATCAGCACTGCACCTAGCATTTTCTCCCCGTGCCTTTCAGGTGTTTGTGTGAGACTCAGCAGGTCTGCTCAGGAAATGCAACCTCCTACAGCAAAAAAGAGAATGCATAGAAGCTCCCCACCCTCCTCCTCTCACTCCAGATCTGGCACCCACTATCCCTCAGGCTGTTTTTCCAGCCATGTGGCTGGCTCTGACAAAGGGAGGGGAATTCGATGGGAATTCTCTACTTACCACTTCCACACCTGAATTTCCAGCTACCTCCTACACTGTAGTGTCCACAAAATTTCTGCTGAAACTTCCTTGTTTTTTCATTACCAAATGAGTGCGGCTCGCAGCCTAGGGCGTGTGCTGAGAGTGTGCCACCGTACAGCCCTTCCCTCTTCCAGCCCTTGGTACTGGCACTGAAGTGGAAAACCCCACTTCTTCTTCCCCATCAATATCTAATCTGTATAGTCCTATGCATGTTCCTCCCACACCTTCCCCCAATCTAAATGCACTAATCATCAATTACCTTTGAAAAAACCACCCATTTCCATGTATTCCTTCCCAGCAATACGCAAGGCAATGGAAGAGTCCAGATACTGAGCTGTTAGGCAGGCGGGATGGTCCTGTGATAGGGCTATTTCTGTCACACTTGAGTTTGATGACAAACTTTGAATGGTTTTAATTTCACCATCACAGTTTAGGCTGATTCACCTAAGTGAATCACAGCCAAAAATGTTCAGTCATTGCTGTGATGCTGTTCACTGCTAGAGACACCTGGCACCTACCTTGAGGTCAATGATTTTCAGATGTTTCTTTAACTGTCCCTGAAAGATGGCTCTGTGTGTGTGTTTGGGCACCCAAAATAATTAATCATGTTTGAAAATCCTGGGTCACAATGATACGGCAGAAGTTCCTCGCTAACAAGATCATCAGATTAGTGAGAATTTCACTGTGTTTTACAGAAAGGACTTTGGAGCGCAAAGGGATGCTTAAAGCTTAATGACTGTTGAATTTCGGTAAGGTGAAAGGGGAATAAAAAGGGAAAAATGATGATGGGTGATAGTGTAGTGAAGTATACAAGCCTAACATCTTGTTTAGTCTTCAGAACTCTTCTAGCAGAGCAATGCTGTTGATGGATGTACTTTCATCTAATGTTAGCTGGCAGCAGTCCTACCTAGAAATAATTCGAATGGCTAAGGAGCCTCTGGTCAGTATTGCTTATTTCATCTGGTGACCTAGGGCAAAGTACACAGCAAATTGACTTTGGCTGTGACAAACTGAGTCTGTTTAAAGGGACTTTGCTACACTTTTAAGAGAAAGTTTAGAAGAAACCTGTCTGGAGAGAGGCAAGGTAAAAAGAGAAGCAAGAAAGCAAGGAAGCGTGATGAGATAGCTCTTTTTGAGCAGAGAAAGCTGGTCTTTTTCTACTCTATAATTTAGCAGGGTGTTTTTTGAAAGTTAGCTCGCTCTCACTGCTGTTTTTGAAAGCTCTGCTCAAAACAGATTGTACTTTACCACAGATTAATTGAATCAATTTACAGCCTCTTTTCTCTAATGAGTGACATACATTAAATTACAATTTGCCTAATCTTGACCAGAATTTGAGAAGTTTCTGATGTTCTTAGATACTGTTAAATACTAGGTTTCACTAGCTATCATGTAACATTAGGTATCAAACACTACACCTTTTAACATCTGTCATGCCCTATTTGCTATCTAGTCACAGCCATAATTTTGCTGTTCTTCAGCAGGCACAAAGTCATAATTAAAAACTACAGGGCTGTTTAAAGGGCTTAGTAAAATTGTACTCACAGGGGATGTCCTCAGGGCCCACAGCTGAAATGTAGCTACCAGTCAGAAATTCAGCATACTAATGGGGATAGGACTCCAGCTCTCCATGTCCATGCCACTTGAACTCTGAGCCTTGATTTATTCACTCTATGGCTTCCCACTCATTCTAACCAAGAAAGCACTGCTTCACATATGCATTAGCCAGGTAATTAACATACCTCCAAATACTGTAATGATTAAATAAATGATTAATGATTAATTGAATACATAAGCTTAATACAAAATGTCATCAAAATCACAAAAGCTTATGTAGTCATGTTGAGAAGAAACTGCTGAAGATTTTATGTGTGTATTACATACATTTGAAAACCGTGAAATCTAGGGACACCCCATTTTCTCGACAGAAAGTATGTGAATATCAGCCCATTTCTCCCAGCGTATGGGATCAGGTGTGTGACTGTATTGCACTTGGGAATACCGGCATATCCTCTCAATCATTATTACTTATAATGCACTGTGAGTATGCCTACCACTTTGCAAACACGTGAAAGACAAGGCTGCTGCTCCAGGGAGCTTGTATCTTGACTCATATACAACACAAAGGCTAATAGTTCAAATGCATATGAGAGCAAAGAACAAGTGAGGTCTTCAGGGCAAAGTTCGTAACAGAAGGCTTCAGGAAAGAGTTGGGCTTTAAGGCCGCTCTGTATAGGCTCTGGTTTTCCTTCATAAAATAAATAATGAAGGCCCCATTTTATTTTAATTACTTTAGATATTTCAAGAACTTCCTGCGGCTTTTGAAGACCTTATTTATTTGCACATTGTATGTTCTTGCACCCTAATTTGAACTCATGGAGGTTTGTCTCGCCAAAATAACCTCTCACGTATAACACTTATTACCTGCAGTAGCCACTGCTAACAAACAAAAACAATGTGTAAAAATGTTTTCACGCCCCATCTGTATTTGCCTTTGTATACTCAGTGTGTCTGCTGTTGTCCTCTTGATTTTAGTAATGACGTTAGCTTTGGTGAGTGAAGGAACTCATAGACTCTTTCTGGGTAGGTTAATATTTGTGGATACATTTGAAAAAAAAATCTTTTTTCTCCTTTTTTGAAGGAGAAAAATCTTCAAAGCCTTTTTGTTATCCCAAAATGAAACTGAACAGGGTACAAACCCACGGCTGTTTTTCAGACAGCCAACGTTTCACAGGACAGATCTCGAGGGTGCCAGGCTGTTTGGCGTAAGATTCGTGAGGACCTGAAGCAAAGGCTCCGTTACCGTGTCCCTAATCGCCTTCATTTTCTGGATTTTTCTGGACCTGTCAGAGTTGGACAGCGTAAAGATGGCGGATGGAGAAAGACCGAGGGCCTGACTGCGGGGTGAGCTGCTGAGGGCGAGTTCCCGATGCTCTTCGCCTGCCTTTCTCCTTCCCTGCGGAAAACCAACTCCGGCCGCCCTAGGGAGAGCGGCGGGACGGGACTGGGACGGGACGGGCTGACGCCTCGTTCCCCTGGCGCCGTCAGGCTGGAAGTCGCGGCGACTGAAATACCACGACAGAAACACGCCAGCGCGCCCGCGAAACGACGCTTTCCGTCGGCAGGCCACCCGCCGAGCCCCCTCTCGCCCAACCTCGGGGCGG